TACGAAGGCGCCTCTCCCCTCGGGCCGCGGCGGGCGGCGGTCCTCACAGGTCGATGTCCCGCACGTCCGTGGGGGTGCTGGCCTGGTCCAGTTCCTCCTCCTCCTTGCCGCTCTCTCGCTGCTCCTCGCGGAACTGCTGCAGGCTGCTGAGCAGCACCGCCTCAATCTGCTCCTGGCAGGCTTTGAGACAGTCCTGGAGGGAGGGGGCCGCAACAAGGCGGTTAGCAAGAGGAACCTAGAGCCGGTGGTGAAGCACACACATGTGTGTTCGGGGCTCACAAAACACACGCTCCTCATTCAGCGCACGGCTCCTCACTTACTGATTTACCCCCCTTCTCCAATGTTCTCTCTGCAATTACAAAGGCAGGGGGAGGCCGGCTCACCTTCGAGATTCTCCGTGGTTGGGCAGTTACATGCTAGGAGGAGGAAACCCGTGGTGCATGCACGCTAATTAAACCCTGGCCTGAAGGAGAAGGCCGTGGCAGCGGGCAGAAGGGGTGTGTTGTTTGGGGGGCATGATCTACTTTGGCAGTTACACAATGGGGCCCCACTTAGACAGCTGCTTGTTTGAAGACAAACTGTAGTCTTCCTGATAGCCAGGCACCATCTAGTTTCTTCACCACGCTTTGCTATGCAATAGCACGGTCATCCTCTATTTTCCCCAGAAGGCCGCTTTTCACACAGCAGCCTGGCCTCTGGAAGCGAGGCATGCAGCCCAGGGAAGCGCGGGTGCACAAATGAACATGAAAGAAAGGAAACCCGTGCCAAGTCCGCCCACCCTGGGGACCAGCAGCATCAGCAAGCCCTGGGAGCAGGTGAGGAATGCAGTGTGGTCAGCCTGGTCCTGACCAACCCAACTGGGATCCGCACTGTCACAGGACCCCCGTGACCTGCATGGCGCACGCGCATTAGCAGGCTGAGCAGCCCTGGCCTCGAGGATGGTCTACTTAAAGAGGTATCCCAGGAGCCAACGCTGCATACTCTCCTTAGGAAAGTCAGAAGACCACAGAGAAAGCAGGAAGGCCACCAGGAGGGACACACACCACATGTGTGTGTGGACTAAGCAAGGGAAATGGGCTGAAATGCCCCGAAAAGCCCTCACCCCCAACTGTGGACATGCTGGAAACCAAAGCAGAAAGAAGACCCACCTCGCACACAGCGCGGCGGCACTAGGGTCTGCACTCAACCTGCAAGGGAGCCCTGGGAGGGGCAGCAGCTCAGCACTCACTGCGAACCACAGGCTGGGCCCAATGCGCGCCCACAAAGCCCAGAGCGCTCTATGGGGCCAGTGCTGCCCTGTCTCATGGGGTCCCTGCCAGTTAGCGCACAACTACGATGCCAAAGGCTGCCAGTTCAAACCCATCCAGCAGTCCTGCCATGCAGCCTGCGAGCCTGCTTCCGTGAAGAGGACGGCCCAGGAAGCCCTGGAGGAGCTCTGCTCTGCTAACGCATGGGCTGTGCTTTTGTCTTGGATGAGGGTTTCGCTCTCTAGTCTCATAGGGCCCCCTGGTCGATAGGAACGGTCTGCCCTTTGCAGATGGCAGGTGGGGGTGGGAGATCTACTCGACTTCCATAAAGACGACAGCCAAGGAAAGCCTAAGGAGCCCAGTCCTACTCTGGGGCTCGTGGGTCTGCCAGGAGTCAGGACCAACTGAATGGCAATAGGTTTGGGCTACACCCCCAGCCCCATCTAAACATCAACGCAAAATGTGTACCACCCCGAGCCTTTGAGCTGTTCCAGTTTGGGAATCAACAAGCCTTTGCAGTCATGCTCTGCTATTACGCCGTCTGTCTGGTGGGGCCAATCCCAAGTGTGCTGTCTGTCCCAGAGGCTTGGTTAGCTCTGTAGGGTGGAAGGTCACCAGGAAGGGCCTGTGGGGCTTGGAGCTAAAGAAGTTCGCTCTGTGTCCATCCCGTCCAGCCTCTCTCCTTTGGAAGGCTCTGGGGATGCAATGCTGACCAAGTCCGACACGGCCCAGCAGCAAAGGTATCCCCGCTGCCAAACCTGGCCAAAGCTGTGTGTGCGTGTGCCCGCGCGCGCGCGCGCGTGCATGCTCGGGCGAGCATTTCCTACAGGGAACCCTTTGGAAGCCTTAAACAGGACAAAGGCAATCACCGTGAGGCCCAAAAGGAGTCTAACGAATTCACTGTCATGGGCTAATTACAGATGAAAGAAGGCAAAGGAAATCATCGAAAAGCAGTCTCAAGTCTTCACTCTGTGCAGGCGGGGAAACGGCCAGTGTGGGGATGTGGACACAATTAGACGGAAAAAATGGCTTACAGGAGTGGTTCTGGGGCTTCCACTGCACGGCCAGGGTGGTCGGGGACCCCTTGCCAATTAATACCCTGTTTAGTCTTAATGGGAACCTCCTGGGACTCCCCCTTTGGGGAGAGTCTGTGAGCCAACAGGAAGGGAAGGAAGAGGAACACATGAGGGTGTGCACTGTGCCAGCTGGAGACCCCACCGCCCACCCCTGGCCACAGCCCCATTTCCACCCAGGATCTCCCTGTCCCCAGAGCAGCACAGCAGGAGGGACTTGGAGGAAGCAGCAGCTCCCCCTGTCTGGCCAAGAGACTTCTGCTAGGGGGGGTTCCCCTGGGAGAAGGGGTGGGACGTTACAGAACCTGCAAAGAGGAGGAAGGAGGGGTATTTCCTGTCGGGCAGGACTCTCACTCACTGCCATCCAGTGGATGGTGACGCCACAGGATAAGGTAGAACTGCCCCCTGTGCATTTCTGAGACCGTAACCTTCAGGGTGTAGAAAGCCTCATCTTTCTCCCTTGAAGCAGCTGGTGGTTTCGAACTGCTGGCCTTGCAGTGAGGAGCCCAAGGCGTAACCACTACACACCACACCACAAATAACCACTGGATTGGAGCAACTGAGGCTCAACGCCACCATCCCCCAACCGAGTTCGAAACCAAGCTTGGACTTAAAAGGGCAAGTCTCCCTCTTCAGAACGGTTTCCCTACTCATGTCCGTATCTTCTGGGCTTTACGTGAAGACATTACAGGGCAAGGGGCAAAGCCCAGGGGCCAGAAGGCACGGCAGCACCTCCAGCCAAAAGCAGCGCTGTCCTCCGCCTCCCGCAGGACCG